AAGAGCAAAGTGACACTTCCTTTAAAAAAAAAACAAAAAAAACAAAATAGATACATACTTGGATAAAACTGAAACAAGTTTTATTAAATGACTTGCTCTTACTACTTTCAATACAGTCTAAAATTTCCTATTTCTCTTTTTTTTAAATGCTATTTGCAACCCATTGAATAGATTTCACAATTCACCAATGAGCCACAACCTGCAGTTGGAAAAACACTGGTATAGAGTGGAGTTTCTCAATCTTGGCACTGTTAACGTTTTAGGCCCAGTAATTTTTTGTTGAGGGGGACTGCCCACTTCTCAACGGGGTGATTTTTGCACTGCCCCCTAAGACATTGGGCACTGGTTGGAGACATTTTTCATTGTCACACCTGGCAGTGCTTCCAGTATCTGGTGGGTAGAGGCCACATATGCTGCTGAACAGCCTACAGTACACAGGACAGCCCCTCACAACAAAGAATTATCCAGCCCAAAATGTTGGTAGTACCCACATTGCGAAGCTGGTCATTGAGGGAGCCATTGAGAGGCTCCCTGAAAGAAGCAGGATTTATGTCGGAAAAAGGAGAAAGAGTACAAATGGTTGGGCAGAAAGTACAGGGTGCACTGAGGGACAGTCAGTAAACCTCGTGGGCCAAAGCAGGGTTCTTAGAGAAGCCGTGGAAGATAGGGCTAGAAAGGTAGTTTAGGAAGACTTTAGATGTCAGTATTAATTAGTTTAAATTTTCATCCTAGTGCCAATTGGCAGTTTTGAATAAAGAAAGTGATATGGGCAAAACAATGTTTTAGGAAAACTAATCTGAGGAATTATTATATAAAATCGATTGCAATGGACAAAGACTAGAGACTGCAGAAGTCATTCACAAATAGTTCAAGAATGAAATGGCAAAGACCGAAAATAAGGTGAGGGAAGGGGGCAGGGAAAGGTGAAAACTTTTCCAAAGAGAAATCAACAAATTCTGGTATTAGTGATTAGATGTAATGGGTGTCCAAAAATGGGGATTGAAGACAGAGTTAAAATAATTTTCATGTCCAAGGATTAAGAAGAAAATGGTAACATTCTGAGGACTACATACTAAAGAAGAAAGTGGGTTTGGGTTTCAGATATTTTAAATGCAAATGGAAATGCCCAGGAGCTGATTAGAACTGTGGTGATTTAAACTCTGTGGGGAAAGAGGGAAGAACTGGAGATTTGGGGATCTTCTTAGAGGTTGAAACTGCCATGTGAATGAAATCCTCAAAGAAGTGAAGGGTGAGGAAGAGGAGGGATGAGAGAGTAGAAGGTAAGATCTGGGGAAGACTTACATTAGAACTCTTGTAGGAAATTTAAAAGACATGAAAGGGAAGAAGAGGTTAGAAGGTCTATAAAGATTTAGGAGATCTTCTGGTTCCTTTCATCTCTGAACTTAAAGGACACACTGTTCATTCTGGTAGTGATTATTTTTTGGATAAAGTTTCTGGAGGAGAAACGCAAATAATGAGTTATCTTTAGTTATATGGCAGGTTGAAAATAAGGTTTTTCTATCTTTGGGACTTAAAACGTTTGTGATCTTGCCTTTTAAGAAGACCTGAAATCTTAGTGTGACTTGAGTCACTCTCGTGGTTGGGTTTTATATGCATGAATATGTAGATCTTTATTAGGGACATACTTATTACTGATGAGGGTTTTGATTAACTTCATTCTGCTGTTTTCCTAAGCAGCCAATACCTGCCTCACTAAGAAAAGAACATAAGATATCTACAAAAAGGAATGCTTACTTATAATGAGACGTTTAGTTTAGCTCTCTTAGCTTCTCAGATGTTTTATATACTGACTGGAAATTTAAATGCTTTGATTTTATATTCCACATGATTAGTTTAGTGGTGCTAAGAGTGTGGTGGAGCCCAAAGGCTTTTCCATTACTCTTTTTCAAGAGCACAGAGAAAAAAAGTATTTTTAATGTAAGTTTTAGCATCTTTGTCACATGAATTTCAATAGAAAGTGCACAGCTCTCCCAAAGGCTTTTAGCACTCTAATAAGCCAAAGGTTTTTAATGAGAAGCACCTTCTGTTTCACTCCCAGACACATTTATTAAATTATTTATGTGGAGCCTTCATGATGGGAATATCTTAAAACATACTGCAGGTGGTTGCCTGCTTCCAAGAATCCTATCATCCTGAGATGTTTGTTATGTATACTTTTTTGTTTTGTACTCCCACACCAGCAGCAGATCCCATTACCACCTCTCCTTTTTCCTCATAGGAACCAAATTCTAACGGTGTGGCAACCTTGTTTACAGACATGATTCACACTTAATGATTAGAACATTAACCTGGGACTTGGTTGTACCCTATAGACCAGCGGTTCTCAACCTGTGGGTCTCGACCCCTTTGGGGGTCGAACGACCCTTTCACAGGGGTCGCCTAAGACCATCGGAAAACAAAAAGATACTTACATTACGATTCATAACAGTAGCAAAATTACAGTTATAGAGCAGCAATGAAAACAGTTTTATGGTTGGGGGTCACCACAACATGAGGAACTGTATTAAGGGGTTGCGGCATTAGGAAGGTTGAGAACCTATAGACCCTCATCTCTGGTTTCATTTTAGCTCCAAATGAAAGTCTAGAAAAGAAAAAGAAACCTCTCTCTTTGGTATCCCTGAGGCTAAAATTGAATACCTACCAATCAGGCCAAACCTAAATGGTTATGTTTTCCTTTATTAGAAATAAAAATAGGGCCGGCCGAGTGGCACGATGGTTAAGAACTGGCTTGGGATGCCAGAGGGCCCCGGTTCGGATCCCACATATGAGGGCCAGTGACAGCAACTTGTCTATTCCCCTTCCCCCAANACTGTTCCCCTCCCCCAATTCCCCAATAAAATCTTAAAAAACAAACAAACAAAAAAAACTGAAAACCAGATTGTGGAAGGTCTGATTCTTAAAGACACTTAAGACCTTATCTTTTTTCTGCCTCTTACTTTGTGGGCCTATAAAGAAAAAGGTCTAAAATTCTAAAATATCTGACTCTTTGATGTAGACCTAAATCCAGATATGTATCTTTTTAGTTAAAACTTTTTTAGTTCTGGGACAGGATTGATTTTTTTCCTTAATAAAACTACAGACTAAGTAAAAAAGAAAGAGAAAAATAAAAAATAAAACATATGTAGAAAACAAAGAAAAAGAAGAAAAAAGAACAAAAAATAAATAGAACTGGAGACTAAATTAGAGCCGTTCTTTTGGCTTTCCTAATTCTTAAAATTACTGCGTTAAAAAGACTACAGAATGACATACATACTTTTACGACTCATTTGACCTCACCGGTCTTATTTGCATACATCTAAACCTGAATGAAAATTGAAGCAAGTTCTTTGTTTGCCTTCCCAGAAGTTCTTATATACCCATCTCTTGTTAGCAATATGTCAGGATCACAATTAGATTTGCTGTGTAAATAAAAGAGGAAACTGTGGAGGCCCTTCTCATGCTGAGCAGAAAGAAGAGACAGATAAGTGAGGTCTTCAGTTCAGATTTTGGCCAAATCTGGTGACTTCTTTTGATATATCCGACCAATTAGAATTTTTTCCCACTGGTCTTGTTCTTGAATTGAAACCCTAATTAAAGAAATGGCCAGAAAAACAGAAATAAAATAAAGAAGTAATAGCAGGGGACTTGAAAAGTCGTATATTGAACATTTAGAATAATGGTTAATCAAGAATTATTTACATGTTCTCCCTGGTGTTTAAGACTAAAGAACATTATAACTTGTACTGGTATTCAAAAGTCTTGGATAGCAATTGGCTGCTGATTGACAGTGTTTTATAGACTACAGATAATTACATAAATGGAAGTTATGTGTTAACATTTAGACAGCAAAGGGCATGGTATTTCTAAAATCCAGCCCTCATCTGTGATCAATATAACATGTATCCTGAGGGGCAACAAATGAGCTTTTTAAAAAAATTATGGTGGAAAAATTACACAACAAGATTTACTATCATAACCATTTTTTTTTTAAAGATTTTTATTGGGGAATTGGGGGGATGGGAACATTGCTGGGGGAATTGGGGGAAGGGGAACAGACTAGTTGCTGTCGTTTTTGTTCTTCAATCTAGTTGTGGAGGACGTTGCTTCACTGGCCCAAGTTGGCACCATCATTGCGNCGCCCCCAGCGCCTAGGCCCCGCCCCTGCCCCCCTGCCCGGCCCGGCGCTTTCTACGGGGTTGGTCGCAGCCATCCCACTCCTCGCCCCGTTGTAACTGCTCGCGGCTCTATCTCTTTATAAAGTTGTTGTTGCGGCTTCCGCCGCGGGTGCAGGAAGATGGCGTCGGGTGGCGGTGGCTGTAGCGCTTCGGAAAGATTCCCTCCGCCGTTCCCCGGCCTGGAGCCGGATTCCGAGGGGGCGGCCGGAGGGTCAGAACCCGAGGCTGGGGACAGCGACACCGAGGGGGAGGATATTTTCACCGGCACCGCGGCGGCCGTGAGTTCGCACCCTTTGGGGGCGGCCAGAGGGTGGGCGGGCGCCCCAAAAGGGAAGAAAGGCTGGGCAGAGTGGGCCCGGCGAGACCTTGCGTTGGTGACAGTAGTCGTGGCTTGGGGGCGCTGGATGAACACCGAGACCTCGGGCCTGGCTTCCTGGCCTCTGGGAGGACGGTGAAGAGGGGTGTGGTGGCTTCTCCGCCTGGATCCCTGACTGCGAAGAGCCCCCGAGGCCGGCATTTGGCCTTGCCGTGTGGTGACCCCACCGACTCACGGATTTGTTTTGCTGGTCGTTGCTTTCCGGGCTGATTTAATAGGTCAGGATTAGGGGATGGGGTGCAAACTCTCTTGCCTTACTGCTCCTAGGATGAATAATGTTATATGAAGTGGCCCAGGATACTGACCCGTCCGCAAATGCTTTCGTTAGCTCAACACTTGTAATTACCAAAGGCCATTCCTGGATCTTAGTTCATAAGAGTTAGATTGACTCCTTTGATCTCTAGGAAAATCCTGCCAGAGGTCGGTTGAAAAAAAAATGCCCTGCCAGATAAATCACTACATAGGCCAAAAGCTTTGTTGTTCCTTTTAAAAGGATATGTTAAACTGCCTAAGTATCTTAGTGGGAGCAAATCTGTAAATGTGAGGAGGAAATGGTGTTTCCCATAATAATATCCAGGTTTCTAATGAGAGTTTGGTATTGGGGAAAATTAAATTTTGCATGTGGAATATGGAAATCAGTAATGAGTTCTGGAACCCGTGGAGATGTTTGAGGTTGTTTTGTAAGAATACTGACAAATACCACTTGGTACAGTTCGTTCCAGTTGAAAACTTCTTCAGTGCTAGGCTAGGTCTGTGAATTTATGTATATTTCTGTCTCAGATAATGCTTCTCTTCATAATAGCCACTCAGTATATGAGTGACTAAATAAGACAGCTTTAAATTATTTATGCAGTATGTGGCTGAAAAAGTTGGAGTTTGTCTCATTTATGTCAGGAAAAGGTGAAGTTTCTTGGGAGTATCTTCTATGACAATCATTAGAATTTCCCCTGTGCTGTATTCTGGAATTGAGTCCATAATCCCAGCTCAGAAAGCACTTGTTGATAATACAACAGCTCAAACTGTCTAGTGAGGTCTGTTATTCTGAAAAATAACTATTACTGCTAATTTAGCCTCTCTGTATTTCATTTAAAACAAATCTTGAGCCTGTTCCTTTAGTAATTCTCCCATAGCCTTGGAGAACAGCTACTGTTGATAACTGCTGGAATGGTAGATATTCAGACTGAATATCTGGAAATAGAAACTGGTACTGAAAGTGATTTGGTCACATAAGGAAATAATGATTTATTTTCAAAAAAGGACCCTGGAAGGGTGAGGAGTTATTTTCTAGAGTTAACTAAAACAGTTTAACAGGCTATGATTTGATTGACTGCACCAGATTACTGTACAGATCCATCAATACTTCTCTCTTGTAAGACAGTAAAAATAATTTGCCTAATTTCCAACTAAATGGAGGAGGAAGGGGTTACATTTTTACTCAGGGAAAATGAGTTGCTGAGGAAACTAAAATGCCACCTGTAAGCCATTTTTTGAGCTGTGTACCTTGCTGTTAAATCTTCCGGAATCCAAGACCCCCAAGATCCCTCACTAGTTAAGCTGTGAATTTCTTCTTAAATAGCCATTAAATACAAATTATATTCCACTACATGCTTTAATTGTGAGCCAATGTGAGAAGATAGGGGATCGCATTGCTTCTGTATTTTAATGAACAACATGAAGAATAAAGTAATTAAGAGCATGGGCTTTGACATCTGATTTAAATCCGGGCTCCCTTATTTGCTAGCTTAACCTTGGGCAAGGTACTTAATTACTTTGTACAGTTTCCTCACCTGTAAAATTTGAATAATAATAGTATTTACTGCCACCGTTTTTATGAGACTTGAATTAGAATATGTACCTATAAAATGCTTAGAACTGAGCCAGCCGAGTGGCGTGATGGTTAAGAACTGGCTTGGGATGCCAGAGGGCCCTGGTTCGGATCCCACATATGAGGGCCAGTGACACTGCCCTCCACAGCTAAGATGCTGNAAAGAAAGAAAAAGAAAAATAAAAAAATTAAAAAAAACTGAGCTATGTAGGTTTTGAACTTTTAGCTCCGTTGCTCTGAGTTGAAAGTACATTCTTTTTATTTGCCTAAAAAATTTTAATGCCTTAAAGTGGTGTATAATGCTCTTTTGGAAAGTACCCTCTAGAACACTTAGGGAATGAATTGTTCTGCTCAACTGAGATGTCCCAGATAGACAAAGGCAGCTTTTAAGCACTAATTTTTTAAAAATGATTTTGATTAGAAAGATTTTCAGGTATTGCACATATCTTTTTTTCTAGTTGACAGTTTTCCTGATTCTTCCTTTGATGTCATATTTTACTCAGTATATCTGCCTCTTCTATCATATTGGCTTATAAAGCAGATAACCAAACTTATTCTTCTTTTACAGTAATTATAACTAGAACAAATAGGGTTCATATAAGGTTTTAAAGGAATACTCCTTAGAGTAAAATAAATTGGCACATTTACTTTGGCTGTGCCCTCTTTTTTGCTTGATAACTGGTTTTTGCCTAAATCCTGTGTAGGAGAGAGTTGCCAGGTAGCTGTATTTAGAAATGAGAGAGGTTGCTGTACAAAGCTTGTGCTAGAATAGAATCCCTCCCTTACTGTAAAACACCTCCCTTTTATCCACGTAAAAATTTCTTGATTCTTGTTCTCTTAATCTGAGAACCTCTAAGTATTGAGAGTGATTGCTGTTGTTCTTGTCTGTTAGCCTAGAGGACTGAAGTTTAGCCATCAAAGACCCATTATTGACTTTCATTATAAAATAATCAACTATTTTTAGATGCCACAGTGGAGCTATCCCTGGACAGCACACAGAATAATCAGAAGAAGGTGCCAGCCAAAACGCTCATATCTCTTCCTCCACAGGAAGCCACAAATTCTTCTAAGCCCCAGCCAAGCTATGAGGAGGTGAGAGTCTGTGCTGTTGATCTTATTTCTTTTGGATTTTTAGGACTGTGCTGCCAATCTAAAGTTCATTTGAGTATGAACCATGAAAAAATATTCATGACTTTTGGAGACCTTTATGGTTAATGGACAGCCAGAATTCAATAAAGTACTCTTTCTCAGGCAGAGTACCTGTTACCCAGAGGATAGCACAAAGGCTTTCAATGGCCACTAATGATATTTAGTGTCTGATGCTCCCATATTCAAGAGTAGTCTCTCTTCATTCCCTCCTTAGCCTGACTGAGGCAAGTCTTCCAAAAGCTAGTAGTTATTCATTATGATCAAAATAAGGCTTTATGAGAATAGACATAACAAAGACCTTTTAGCAGACTCCAACTTAAAATTGTGGAACATTAGCATTGTTGGGAATGGACAGAGCTGAATACTGATACATAGAAGAATATATCTTGATGTTGTATTGATATAAAATTAATACAGAGTAAAATTAATAGCCTTTTGTTTATCGACTCTCATGATTGTCTTCTCTTTAAAAGCTAGAGGAAGAGGAACAGGAAGACCAATTTGATTTGACAGTTGGTATAACTGATCCTGAGAAGATAGGTAAGTGTACTTGGGACTCCTTCTGTGTTAGGATGTGGCTGTGGAAAGCACAGTTAGCCAGTTTCCAGATGGTTACCTCCAGAGCTGAACTAGCCAATGTAAATACTTTGTCATTATCTTTCTTGTAAAATTATACTTCTTACTATGCTTCTAAGGCCAGAACCAGCAGTCACCCAGTAGTTTATTTAGACTTTCTTGGCTTTATGCAGAAAACTCAGAGATATCAAATACAATTATAATCCCTTTTTAAAAACCTAAACATTGCCTTCTATCACAGAGTTGATGAGACCATTTTATTGCCTTTTCATATCATAAATTCATTTTTTTTTTTTCAGCTGAGCCATCCTGCCACTTGTTGGCAGCTCAGCTCGGGCCGGGACTTGAACCTCTATTGCTCAGAACTCACACTCTTGAGCGAGCTCTTAACCAACTGAGCCACTCGGCCGGCCCAAATTCCATTTAAATACAAAACGAAAACCCCCAAAAACAAAACATGTTCTATAATTTGGGGATACTGAAATTATTTTCCCTCAAGAAGTTTGGAATTCTTGTTACATACCATTTGTCATATACTCTTGATAGCTAATGAATTGGGGCAGTCTGTGTCTCTCTTTCATAGGTAGAGACTAAAAGACCTAAGTTGAATCTTGGTCAGATTGAAATTAGATTTTCAAAAAGCATAATGCTTAACTTTGGCCAGAACTTGAATTTTTAGGATAGCCTTCTCATGTCCCAAGCTTGCGAAAGCTGTTAGTGAGCGGAGAGGAACAGGCCTCAGCTGTCCTTGTTCCAGATACAGGCCCTGACAGTGGAGGCTGTACAGAGCCCTGTCCTCCTAAATGGGGGTGGTGTTTATATGGTTAAGAGGGAAAATGTGATTTCCAATCTTCTGTCTATTCTGAACTAGGAACAGGAATTCATAAAATATAATTTTGTCGTTAAAATGTCGAGCTTTATGTTTCCTAGACTGTTGCCCTGGTAGGATATTTATGAGCATCTTATACGATTCCCTCATCCAACAACAGAGGAAATTGAGGACCAATAGTGAAATACAGCTTTCCTGTCAGGTCACAGTGTGATCCATGATAGAGCCTGGGCTGGAACTTTGGATTACATGTTTAGGATTCTCTTGCTTCTCTAATGTTTATGAATATCCTATATATCAGTTTCCTAGGGCTTCTGTAACAAAGCACCACAAATGGGGTGGCTTAAAACAACAGAAATATATTCTCTCAGAGTTCCTTCCGGAGGCCATGTCTGAGGCCATGGTGACAGCAGGGCCATGCTCTCTTTGCAGGCACTAGGGAAGGACTGTTCTGTGCCTGTCCCCTAGTCTTTGGTAGCCTCATACATTCCTTGGCTAGTAAATGCGTTACTCCAGTCTCTGCCTTCATTGTCTCTTGGCAGTCTCCCTGGGTGTCCTCATATCATTTTTCCTATCTGTGTGTCTCTGTGTCCAGATTTCCTGTTTTTTATAAGGACACCAGTCATACCGAATAATTAGGACTTGGTTACTTCTGTAGAGACCTGTTTCCAAATAAGGTCACATTCTGAGGTACTGGGGGTTAGGACTTTCAACATAACTTTCTTAGGAGGACACACAGTTCAACCCATAACAGTAATTTAAACATCACATGAACCAGATTATTTCAACAGAAATTACTTAGTGATAAGCCTTCATTCCCTTGCATTGTAGTCTAGATTCTTAGTCATGTTAGTGCCAAGAGACCAGCCACTTAAAGCATTTTCATATTCAAGGCCTGATCTTTTTAAGAACATTTGTTTGTGTGGGCTGATTATTCAACACGTGCTTCTCATTTCCTCACACATCTAAATAAGTTAGAAACCTGCTTCTACCAGGATATGCTTTTTAGAGTCTTGGTAATTGCATATGCCATCTTCACCTCTCTGAAATTAGTTAGACATTAGTGAGAATTTAAAACTGCTGTATTACTAGCCCATTTCTGTATCTTACAAGCTATGAGTATATATGGAAGTATTTCTCTGTTCTCACACATGTCCTTAGTAACAGCAGCTGAATGCAGGCAGTGTCTGAAGATCCTGCTTTGCTACCATGTTTTATGTACATATGTGCTTGGCCCTTCCTTAATTGCCGGTACTAGATTATAGGATTGACCTTTTGGACATTTGACCTTGACTTCAGCTGTGAAAGAAATTTTGAATACTTTTTCTTAAAGCAAATTTAGATTACTTTTTCCTCTTATCAGTGGTAAGTGTCCTTAGTAGCATTAGGCCTCGTGGTATGAATTGTTTAGTAGAGAACTAACACTAGTAATCAGTATAAAATAATTTCTAAAGCTGAGTTAATGATTTTCATTTTACACATACTCTTTTGATAGAGGCTGGAGAGGTAGAGAAGGCAAGCCCTCTACTCCAATGTAATCTCCAGCTTCTTTGTGTCCTTTCCCAGGCATCTCCCTGAAAGCAAATCGCAGTGTGCGGCCCTGCTTATAACAACACTGCACCTCTTCCCCTGGGCCCTCACCCTACCACCAGTTCAGAAGCTTAAGCAAGCAGTAATTGTTGAGCTGGGTTTCCTGTTGTGTGTAGGGAAGAATTGAGGGGTGGGGAGGAAGGGAACAAAACCAACCCCAAACACCAGAGTCCAGCACTGAAGCGGTATCTGTCTAGAGTCCAGTGTATGTCTTTTCAGTGCTCAGAGTCAATGGTGTCTTTATGTCCCTAAGTGGCCTAGGTCAGGACACTGATACAGAGAAAAACAATTGCTTGAATCCAAAATTACAGTCAAAGGCTGTTTCAGAAAAACAATTCCCCCAGGAAAGAGATTTGTGTGACATCAGGCAGCCGAAGTCTCTTCCGGCCAGTCCTTTTGCTCTGGGTGAACATGCTAGATGAGAGAGGTCAGTGTCCCCCAGCACTGATGGAGCGGAAAGTGACAGTATTTCTGAAAGAGCAAACCCAGCCCAGAGCTAGCTTAGGGTAGAACTATTTGTTTCCTTTTACATCAGTTGCTTCCTTCTCCTCCTCCCGCTTTATACAGCAAGAGAATTGTGTGGTTTTAGACAGATGTGTGCAAACAGCTCAAATATTGGCATGGTAACAACTGATGGATTGTCAGTATCCAGTGCTGCTTTGTGAAGGGCATAAATGGAGCCTGGCTTTAGAACAGGGAACCGACTCTCTTGTCTAACTCACACTGGGGCCCAGCCAGCATCCATGGGGCGTAATAAGCACCACAAAGGCCCTGAGGCAAAGTCGGAATTGACATGTAGGGTAGTATCTGAAGTTTGGAGATGAAACAAGTATCCCAACTTGTACAGGGCTCCTGTGGCTTATGATTCCTGGTTAAATGTTAACAAGATTAGCACTGCTTTGGCTTACAAGAGAATCACCCCTCTTCTGCTTTGTTACTCTCCCGCAGGGGACGGCATGAATGCCTATGTAGCCTACAAAGTTACTACACAGGTGAGTCCACGTGACCCTGCTGATGACCACCTTAATGGACTTGGGTGCTTCTACCAAGAAGGTCATCATTCAGATGATTTCTGGGCATTTCTTTAGTTTCTTTGTCAACATCTTCAAGTTTACGCAAGATGGAGCAAGCCTGCACCCCCTTGGTAATCTCATCCGAACCTTTCCACTTTTCTTCCAGAGAGCTAACACTTCAGTGTGAAACTTTGTAAGTTTTATGAAGACATGCAGTGTATCTAATACAGTCCTGTCCCTCTTAGGAACTATGTGGCTTAACAGCTAGTTTGGTGGCTTGCCCCAAACAATTATCAGCTGTTTAAAAATTGTCTGTTCTGAGCTTTCCTGTATGGAACCTCTTTTAATTCTTTCCCTAACCTTTTGCCCCTTAGCTCTGGTCTTCCTTTTTTATATATTCATGCATATACAACTTACACAATGTTGTATGAAGGTTATGAAGCATAAAAAATGAAGCCCCAAACCTACCACCAGTCTTAAGATGAGTACTGTTGACCTGCATGTTTCTCCCTGTCACAGCGCCCGCCTCACACCTTAGAGGCAACCATCTCCTGAGTTGTGTCTCATTTCCTTTATAGAAAGTCTTCATGTATGTATCTCTAAACAATATACTGTTTTGCTTTTGTTATTGAGTTTCATAAAAATGGTATGCTGAAAATAGTGCTCTCTTTACTAGCACTGTTTCTCAGGCCCATCCATGTTGTGTGTAGCTGTAGTCAGTCCATTGTGTGATTATAGCATAATTATCCGTTTCCTGTTGTGAATATTTGACACGTTTCCAGTTTTTTTATAATTACAAACTATGAACATTTTTGCACAAGTCTCCTAGTGTACACATTGAAGAGTTTTTCTAGGGTATAGAACCAGGAGTATTTCCCCTGGGTCGTGCAAATGTTAAAGGAAAGGAATGCAAACTTTTTAAAAAAGTCTTTGTGCCAATTTATACTCCCGTCAGCAATGTGTAAAAGTTCCCGTTGATATGCTTCCTTGCCAACAACTGGCAAGGCCAGTCTCCTTAAATTTTGCCTGTCTGCTGAGTATGAAATGATCTCATTGCGACGTAGGCCTAGTCTTTTTTTACTAGAGGTCTCCTTTATGTTGTCTCTCTACTACTTGTTGGCCTGCCTGCTGTAAGTTCTAGATCCTGTGACACTTTAGGGGTTAAAGTGTCTACAGTGTGGACATTTCATCTGATCCTTCCCCCTTAAAAGGACTGTTGAGTCCGTTGGTTTTCTTTTAGTTTGGCTGTTTTAATTCCAGCAGCTAATACCCTTAAGTCAGTGCAGAATGAATGGTTATAGGTGACCACAGAGATCTAGCTTTATAGTAGACTTCAACATTTGTTTCCTTAGAGCAAGCGTTATTAACCGGACAATGAAACTGTATTTGAATTTAATTAATTGCCTTTTGTAATCCTACGTATTTTATTTTATGCATTTAAAGTCATTATTCTGAGAAGGACTCCACAGACTTCCAGATAGCCATAAGGGACTATAGCTCAAAAAAGTTTGAGAATCTCAGCTTTGGAGAAAGTTATTTACTTATATGTGGCTAAGCGACGGGGATCTGGGCAATAGATTCCTTTGATGTCAGCCGGGTGACTTTCAAGATACTCCTTCATCCCCTATTCGGAATGAAATCGCCTTGTTTTTTTTCTGTCCCCAAGACGAGCTTACCAATGTTCAGAAGTAAACAGTTTGCAGTGAAAAGAAGATTTAGTGACTTTCTGGGTCTTTATGAGAAGCTTTCAGAGAAACACTCTCAGAATGGCTTCATTGTCCCCCCTCCGCCTGAGAAGAGCCTAATAGGTAAGCCTGTGGTCTTTAATTTTGCTTGGATTTTTTTCCTTTGCATTCTTCTGCAATATACTTTCTACTTAGTATATGAAACTATTTCTATTAACAGTATAGTCTGTGGTTAGAAAAATTTCCGGTGTTTTCCTATAAATTGCAGGAGGTCTGGAGAAATAGACAGCAAGTTTTGACATGTTCTCTTTCCTTGGGTATAGTAGGAGGTTCTGGTTTTAGCCTCTGTGTGTGTGTGTGTGTGTGTGTGTGTGTGTGTGTGTGTGTGTGTGTGTGTTGGTATCCTAGAGTCTTAAATGATTGCTATTCCTTCCAGGTTGGATTAGGATGTAGTAAATTGGATGGGGTGAGGGGCAAGGGACCTCCCTATTATTATCACTTGATGTTTGATCTATACTCAGAGTCCCATGGGCCCCTTTTAGGAAACAGGCTCTGCAAGTTCCAGAGTTTAGAATCTTCGGCCCTTTGAGACTAGTTTAACAAACGGCTCTTATGTAAAGAACTTTTTGTTCTTGCCTGCTCGTGGCATAGAAGTGGCCTTTGGTTGTGTTTTGTACTGTTGTTACTGCCTGTCCTTTTGGGGTTTTTTACAGGTTTATCCTATTCATGATGGTTATTTTTGCTTTTTAAATTCCATTCCAGGAATGACAAAAGTAAAAGTTGGGAAGGAAGATTCTTCTTCTGCAGAATTTCTTGAAAAACGGAGGGCCGCCCTAGAAAGGTAAGTGCCATACAACCATTTTTCTCAATAACATGAGAGCTGGTGAGGAGCTGAAACCCAAGACTCAATTATGAGACATTCACTGGAGTTAGTGGAGATGAGAAACTTGAGTGAATGAAAGATTCACACTTCCATGTTATCTCTTAACTTTTCCTAAGTCTCTTACCTTCCCACCTTAGGAACAGACCATCTTCTTTTCTTTTCCCACCCTGAGTGGGAAGATAACCATATTCTCCTTGGACAATCAGATATAAAAGACTCTGAGGTCTCTTTCTGACCAGTTATTTTTCTTCACTTTTTTAAATTGTGAATAACATAAACTTGAATGTGCTTACTATAAGCAGAATCATATTTAAGTGCCTTACCTGAGGACATTGTAAAGTAATGAAAAACATTGTACCTCTGCCAGCACTGTATGACACCCAAAACCAGTGAGGCCAGCTTGACTAACCAGATAACCGCTTTCTCTGTAGGTACCTTCAGAGGATTGTGACTCATCCTACCATGATACAGGACCCTGATGTCAGGGAGTTCTTGGAAAAAGAAGAGGTTAGTATTGTACCAACTGAATTTCAAAATTTATATCTTCCCCTAGTGAAATGAAACTAATTCATTCGACCAACACTTGAACACATAACATGCACATAGGGTAGTACCAGACTATATCCTAGTTTGTAAGCCCCTAATAGTGACAAGTATTTTTCAGCCTTGGAAATAAAAGAAGCTCTGCCTGTAGTCAAAAGCAACTGGATGTAGAGATCACACTGCAACCTAGTTTTGTCTTACTGGATTAACACAATGATCTATTTGGCAAGTCCTCAGCATGTCTTTCATAAGTTACTAGGCTCAAATTGAATACTTTTTTTGTGCCAGGAGCTGAGGGGCATTGGTTCAAAACCAGTTACCACAAACCACAGAACTGGCCATGTAGCAAAAGTGTTGATTCAAGTGGACGGTCTTTTTTTTACAGGCTATGTGTAGGCTATTCATGATTGTAAAAAGTTGGAGACAGCCCAATTGCTAACAATTGAAGAATTAATTAAAATATATCAATACAACAAATACTTTATGCTCATAAACAAAGTATATGGAAATAAATGTTCATATATATTTGGTAGAAGCATATATTAAGGGAATTATAAAAAGTGAAACATGAAACAGCATGAAAATATAGCTGTAGAAACATGTTAGTCATTAAGGATCAAAAGAAACACTGGAATAAAACAATGTTGTATCTATGTCAGGAAAGAAAACCAGAAGGAAATAAATCACAGGGTAGGATTATCATTTTGTATTTGTTTTTTTTGTTTTTATTTAAAAAAAAAATTTTTTTTTTTAGTTTATGTAAAGTACATAGTATTCTAATGAAGAAAATACTACTAAGTATATGGGTATTTTTTTCCCTCAAAATGGAGGGTTTTTTATTAAGAATTCTCTGTCTAATGCTTTTAATCTTTTCATTTTTCTTCTGGGATTCCTAATTCCATTCTTTCTTTGCACCCACTCATCCCCACTTTGTATCCCTAGAACAGGGCTTGTGGACAGTGGCACCATTGACACTTTGGGCTGGATCAGTCTTTGTTGTAGGGAGCTGTCCTATGCCTTGTAGGTTAGCAGCATCCCTGGTCTCTGTCCACTAGATGCCAGTAGCAACCCCTTCCCAGTTTTAACAACCAAACTTATCTCCGGACATGGCCAAATGTCCCCTAGGGTGGGGGGCACAATGGACCCAAGTTGAGAACTACTGACCTGAGCAGTAAATCCAGTTTTTCAACATGCTATACTATATATACTATAGATTCTTCAGCATCCCTTCCATGCCTTAGGGAAAGAATGGTAAGATCAGATTATTTCTAAATATATGGCATGCTTGGCCTAGATTATCCCTAAATGTAGCCTCAGTCTGAATAATAATGCTCCTGTCCTTGGATCTTTGTTCACTGGGAAAAATCTAAATGGAATCACAGCACAACTTCATAGTCTTTCAAGACCTTAAGTCCAGCTTTGTGCATAGTATGGTAATCCAAAAGAACTTTTGACTTTTAACAAAAGCATGCTTTATATTTAAGAAGTTCATGCCTGAGTGAGATCACCTGGCCACATAACATTCACACTCTACTTTCCTTCTGCACACAATATCAAAAGCTGAAAATTTTGCAGATTCTGTTTAATGTGGTCCTTTGGTTTTTCTTGCTGTACATGCTGGTGATGGATTTGTGTAGCTGACTTTGAAAACAACAATCGACAGTTCAAATAATTTGTTTGCTACGTTTTGGGCATGCCATCTGATGGCTACTAATTCTTCTGAACCTAAAATAGGGGCAGCAGATAACTTGCCATCCCCGCCTTCTTGGTCTTGTAGCTGCCACGTGCCGTAGGTACTCAGACATTGAGTGGTGCTGGTCTCCTCAAGATGTTCAACAAAGCCACAGATGCGGTCAGCAAAATGACCATCAAGATGAATGAATCCGACATTGTGAGTAGCCTTGTGCCTCTCGGCTTCTCCTCTCCCTCAGGCTCATGGGTCAGGAGCCCCCTGGGAAGTCCTGAAATTTCTGGGATTAGAGACTTTCTTTTTAAGATAATTCCATCCCCTCTTTTACAAATGGCTAAGGAAGGAAAGACTGCTCTATGCCTATGTGAGGAGCATCCATTAAAGCTCTGGCCTCGTGTGTTTCAGTGGTTTGAGGAGAAGCTCCAGGAGGTAGAATGTGAAGAGCAGCGCTTGCGAAAACTACATGCCGTTGTAGAAACTCTGGTCAACCACAGGAAAGGTAACATGCTCTGAAGGGCACTTGGAGCTGGAGGAAACTGATGTGTCCAGTGAGCTGGAGAGGGGAGGGCGTGCTGTTCCCAAGCCTCTCAGCCGTTCAAGTTGAAATCCTCAGCCCACCTGGTCCTCGATGTTCTGATCAGAAAGATAAGTCCTGCACCGCCTGGCAGGAAAGCTCTCCTCCCCGTTGATTTCACTTGTCTTTCCTTAGCCACTGTGGACATTGTCCTTTCTGCCTGGAAGGGCTGCAGGGATGCGATCCCCGATGCAGCTTGCCCTGAGACATGGGCTTCTGTTGACATGATTTGAGTTGATGGCTTATACCATAAAATGATGTCACACACTTTAGCTACATGGTTGAACAAGCAATTTGTAGAGGTAGAGAAATGAGATATATCCTCTAACCCTTCCTCACTTTTCTTTGATGAGATTTGCATAAGATCTAGTGAAATTTGCCAAGTTTGAATGCTTTCCTTCTCTGCCTTAAACATGCTGAGCATCGGAAATCTAAACAGGCAAAAAGACATTAGAATGAGGCCAGTGTTGGCTGGCAAAACATGGCCCTGGGCCCATTGCTATGAGCTCGGAGTGCTGTTTACAGTTTTAAAGGGATGTGGAGAGAGAGAGAGAGAGAGAGAGAGAGAGAGCAAGTAAGAGCATATGTGACCTGCAAACCTTAGATATCTGGCTCTTAACATACAAAGTTTGACCTGCTCTAGACCATGCAGGACTGTGCAGTGTGCACATCATTCACTGCCGTGCAGACAGGCTTCTTACCATGAGCTTTAACATCAGAATCAGAATCATTCCTGTGGCCCATTTGTATTAACGGACCCCTGGCTCTCCAGGAATTTTGGAGCTGCTGCGTCCAGGGAGGCCTAACCTAGTGAAATTTAGGACAGCAGGTGCCTTTCCCTGCTCGTGGGACCAAGCTGCGTGCATCCCCCTTTCTGAATACAGTTGGCTATGGTGCAGGTGACTGGGTTGCAGAGCCCACAGTTGCCGCATATGCAGGGGCAGCATGGCTGAGACATGCCATGCGGTGCTAGCTGACTTGTCCCTTTTCCTTGTGAGATGAGAGGCTTCTGCTGTCTTCCTCCTTCCAGAGCTAGCGCTGAACACAGCCCAGTTTGCAAAGAGTCTGGCCATGCTCGGGAGCTCAGAGGACAACACAGCATTGTCACGGGCACTCTCCCAGCTGGCTGAAGTGGAAGAAAAAATTGAGCAGCTTCACCAGGAACAGGCCAACAGCGACTTCTTCCTCCTTGCCGAGCTCCTGAGTGACTACATTCGCCTCCTGGCCATCGTCCGAGTAAGCTTCCGTTTCCCTTCTCCTTTCTCATCCCCTTGATTTAATTTGTCTTTCCTTTGCTCTTCTCCTTCCCAAGAAAGTTTTATCCATTATCCCTCAAAATAGGTGTAACTTTTTCTATTCTCAATAGAAAAAGGAAGGTATCCTGTGAACAAAAAAGCCCATTTAACTATTAGCTAGTTATCACTAAGGCATTTTGAGGACCACAGCCAGATTTTAAATGCATTAGGAGAAAAGACCTAAGTGTCCAGGTAGGCCCCTCTTTACATTGAAGCTGGGCGGCATCTTGTGCTCCTTTCTTCAAGCACGGCTCATTACAGACCTGCTGCCTGGCCTCCTGGAGCAGTGACTTCCTCAGCCCTTTGGTCTTTGCCTCCTTAACAGTAAACGGTGGCTTTCCCCTGGTAAGAGCTCTTGCTGGCTTCCACTTGTCCTCCAGTGTGGGCACTCAGGTAACTACACGGATCCAGTTTGGCATTGCATGGAGGAGTGTGGCCAGGGGGCTGAGAGAGCTTGTCACCAGAGCCCTTTGTGTGCTGTGCTGACCATACTGGTAACAACACTGCAGCCCGCCCCTCAAGTCAAGCCCCTCACCTTTCTGCCTGGTGACCAGCGCAGTCTGGTTTCCCATGACCTCTCAGAGTGGCCAAGGAAGCTTCACTAGGCAGTGGTATTAGCTCTCGCATGACCTCCCTGAGACAGGAAAGCGCTAAGAGGGAGCCTGGCGCCTGCCCTGTAAGAGCCTAACTCTCCCCCCTGATCCGGCTTGTGACCAGGACGTGTGAGCCTCAAGCTGGAACAGAGCCGCCTCCACTCCCATCCCCTGCACCTCCGACCAGGGAGCTCCTGTGTTGTCAGGAGCTGAGCTGCTCCCAGGGCGCTCATTTCCTCCTCAGTAGAGATGCTCAATATAGCCTGTGGGATTGCTCATTGTCCTCCCCCTTTGCTGTTTGGTTTGCTGCTAACTCCAGAGTGATAAGAGGCTTGAAAAATAACCTACTTTGGAATTCTAGAACTGGTCTGACTGCTTAGACTGGAGAATCATCCCAGGGAAGGGCTCTCTGGGGAGGCTTTCAGAGAGGACCATTGTCTGGGATCCCTAGAGAGCATAGCACTTGGCTTTGACCCCTAGGTGAGACGAGCCTGTACGGGCAGGAGGCCTAGCTTAGAACTCCAGGTGATAGGGCTGCACACCTCAGAGCACAGAACTGCAGGCCAGGCTTTTCTCAGACCCTTCACCTGCCCTCATGGTCATGAGCTGGTGGTGGGGTTGGAGAGATGAGCAGATGTTTCTTTTCCACCCTTCCCTGAACATGGAGCTGCACCACTGTTAGCCCAGGGGGTTAGGCTTGAGTCTTACTTGGATATGAGGTCACCCTTTACCTAACTAACCCTTTGACACTGAGCTGTTAAGTCATTTCAGGTGAGCAGTAGTGACACTACTGGGAAAAGTGAATTTGATTTCATTTCACTTCCTAAGGTGCATGCTTTGGCAAAGGCCTGTACTAAGGAGGACTAGAGAACATCCAGGGAACTTTTGCAGGGAAGGGGAGCAGATGGCACTGGGCTGGGAGACTGGCGGCAGGCACAGATCTTCACCCAGGCTTTCGGAAGCCTGCAAAGCCAGGGGATGAAGGGTGGTTTGCATAGGCCAGAAGCTGTCCTCTGGAAATGCTGATTGTGGTCAAGGGACTGGAGCCAGGGAAAACCAGCAAGTAGATTTGTGGGGAGCTTCTTGGGGGCCTTGATAGCCTAGAGCAATTGAGTGTGTGGATGAGATGAAAATGGTGTGTCCCTGGGGTGGCTTTAAGTGTTTCATGATCTGTTAAGCTAACCCTGATACCATGTGGGTGTCAGTTTAAAGGTTGCTTCCTTAGGTTGGCCTTCTTGCTACATCTCCCAGGCTAAGCCAGGTCCCCAGTTTTATTATAGTCCCCTGCTTGTTTTCTCTGTACTCTGCATCCTTGTAATTATTATTGGTAATTGTTACTATAATGTTGGCCTTTTCTATTAGATTATAATCTCCATGAAAGCAGAACCATGTGTTTCATTCCCCACTGTGTTCTTAGTTCCGGGCACATGGCAAGCACTCAGGAAATGAGGGAGGCCATGCAGAAGCCGTAGTACTGGGCACTCGCATCAGGTCACCTACTGTGCTCCCAGCCACTCAGCCTTGGGAATAGCATGAAGCAGCATGGCGATGGCCCACTGGAGGCTTGGAGAGGAGTCTCCCCAGGCTTGTGCTTTCTGACATTAAACTTCAGCTGGGCACTAACACAGAAGGCTGCAGAACCTGCCCTGCTCGGTCCTCCCCTAGCCCAGCTGCTGGGAGAGCCCCGCTGAGGCAGAGCCCGCAGGGCTCCTGAAGGGCTGCTTGTGCTCTTCCCCTACCCGCACCTCCACAGGCTGCCTTTGACCAGCGCATGAAGACCTGGCAGCGCTGGCAGGATGCCCAAGCCACACTGCAGAAGAAGCGGGAGGCTGAGGCTCGGCTCCTGTGGGCCAACAAGCCTGACAAGCTGCAGCAGGCCAAGGACGAGATCGTAGAGGTGAGGCCCTGAGGCAGCTCTGCAGGGGTGTCTGCTGGTTCCTGAGTGAGCCTGGGTCCCGTCCCCCCTGGATTCTCCAGAGCTGCACAGCAGGCAGGAGAGCTGATTGACTCGAAAGGACGGCGGCTGCTGGGGAAGCTGAGGATGAGTCCAGGATTCCACGCTTGCCTCTCCTCCCCACCTCCCCTTGCGCCTCGACTTGCCCACTCGCAGTCTCTGCTGGAGGGGGCCTGGCTGGGTCTTTGAAAAGCTCCACGGTGATTCAGATATTCTTCCCTGGGGAGAACTAAATTTAGTTCTCGGGGGCTCCCAGCCCTTCTGGTGAGTACCGAAACCAGAGCTTTCCTAGAGATCAGGCATGGCCTGGGGTCCCCGGCGCCTCTCCCAGCCAGCCCCGAAGGTGGCCTCTGCTGGACTCTGACTTAATGCTAAGTCTCCATGTGGTATCTGATCTGACCCAGAGGGACAGACAGACATAATGACCAATTGAGGTCATGTATAGAATTGCTGTCCGAAGGCAAAGACTTAATGATACTATAACATGAAGTGATCCTTTCTCTCCTCTTTCTTCCCAGTGGGAGTCTCGGGTGACTCAGTATGAAAGGGACTTTGAAAGAATTTCAACCGTGGTCCGAAAAGAAGTGATACGGTTCGAGGTGAGATCAGTTTTACTTCTCACGAGTGTGCAGTGCCGGCTTTAGTAGTGGTGTTGGTTTTGTCCAAGTCTATGGAGTACAGAGATGGAAGGAGCTGCCAGTGACTTGGCAGCTGTGAACATGTGTGGCCGTGTGCGTGTCTTCGTGTCCGTGTTTGTTTCTAAGGCAAAGTGGCTACCCTGCGCTGTCTCTACTTCCTGAGGCTCTGTTTGGCCTCGGTCAGCAATAAATCACCATCCTATCAAGAAGGGAAGAAGCAACTGTCTGGGTGGTCAGTGTAGAATCTTCTCTCCTACAGAAAGAGAAATCCAAGGACTTCAAAAACCATGTGATCAAGTACCTTGAGACACTCCTGTACTCACAGCAGCAGGTACGTAAGTTATGCATGACTTTCATCGTCTACCACCTGCTCCGAAGGCCAGCTGCCTGCTTTAGACTTTGTAACACGATGGGCTGGCCCTGCTTTGGAGGGCCGCACCCTGCTATGATCAATAATTAAAAGCAGTCCCTATTGCTCTAACAGGGAGCAGCCAGTAGGGTCTTTTGCTAAGCAGGATTGCCCTAATCCTAAAATGAGTAATTTTTAAGAACAAACCCCAACTCACCTCTCCTTTAACGCCTCGATACCACCTACCCGTCTTGAAGCTGAGGCCCTGACTGGTATGTGGAACAGTGGTCCCCACTGTGAGAAGCTAACTGAGCCGGGCAAAGCTGTGGCCCCCACAGGGGTACTTCCTCTGGAGCAGAACCAGGACTATCTTCAGAGACGGCCCTAAGTCTAGAGAGATGGAAGGACAAGGTGGCCGGCTGGCCAGTCTATTCTAAGGTCCACTCTTAGCCTAGCCATTGCCTCAGCCTGGTCTCGGCTCAGGCCTGCCTTGCGTGGCTGAGACGCTTGGGGAAGGGCCGTGGCTCTGTGCTTGCTCCCTCGGGCTCTGCCACTAGATGGGGGCACTTGCTTACTGTCCCCACTTCTTTGCAGCTGGCAAAGTACTGGGAAGCCTTCCTTCCTGAGGCAAAGGCCATCTCCTAATGGACCAAGGACACCAGAGCCACCCGCCTGACGCTGCCTTTTTATACACTGTCCCCCTCCACCTCTGCTGGACCCCAGTGATGCCATCCTGCCTAGCCTGGACTTTACCCCCTCTCCCTGTGCCTACGACCAAGCTGTCCCCAGTCATTCTAAGCATTACTTCATTTAGCTTCCATATATATTTTCTTACCTGAGAGAATAGTTTCTTGCTTTAAGCAAAGACCTATAATAGGTGGTGGAATTATGGGATAGGGGTGGAGTATTGATATAAATATATAAATACAAATGTATATTTTTCAGGATGTGGTTAGGAACTGGGAATAACGTTTTCTGTTACTCCTGATGGTGCCATGAAAGATTATGTAATAAAATATTTTAAAATCAGGTCACGTGACTCAGAATGGTGGTGCTTGTTGCTTTTGGCTGGGGTGCAGTTGGGAAGGTCTGCAATTCTCCCAGCTGCTGCCCAGGTAGATTAAATCTCTCTCCACAGGAGTTCACAACGTTTTGCTGCTGCTTCTCTATGGAACTGGAGTTTCTTTTTCTCTTATCTACCTCAGCTACATGTCCTGAGGGTCTCTTAATCTGTTTAACCCTTATTCCTACTTCTTTAGAGAAGGAGTTTTAAAGATGTCTCTTACAATAAGAGGGGCAACCCAGTCCTGCAGAGGAGGCCGGCTTTCCCTGCGCTGCCCAGGGTGCTGAGTCGCCTTCTTATGGCAGTCTTGTGTTCGGAACTTATTTTTGCCACCTATCAAAACACGTCCTCAAAAGTGTAAAGGACTGCTAAGGACTAAAGTCTTTATCCCCATAGACAAAAGACAGGCACTCTGCTTCTAGATAAGGTCATGCAAGAGTTTCTAAACCTTTTGAGGTTCCAAGAAGCTTTACTGTCTGTGCCCAGGAGGGAGCATGCCATCAAGAGGCCCCAAGTGTTGTCAGCACAAGCTGAGGGCCTTCCGAGAGGCCTTTGTGCTGACCTGGGACTCAGATGCGCTGTTGCTGGGCTTCCCCTCAGCTGTGTCCACAGCTGCTTACGCTCACTGGTCAGAGGGCCTGCCAAGCGGCTGTGTGGGGCAGGGCTGGCAGACTGCCTGCCAGGGGAGCCTTGCCACTCCCAGCCCTACCACCCCCAAAGATGCCTCTGCCTGAGGCAGCTCCAGACCTGCTCTGTCAGTTTTCCTTGGTGGGTGGTTAAAGTTTGGGGAGGGCCAGCCAGAGGCAAGAGATTGCAGTAAACAGCACTGATTTCCAGTATGTGACCTGAGGCAGGGAGTGGG